CTCATTTCTTGTAGACTGATGAGGAGAAGAGACAGGGGCTCCCTGTGGTGATGCCAGTGTTTGACCGGAACACCTGCAGCATCCCCAAATCCCAAATCTCCTTCATTGACTACTTCATAACAGACATGTTTGATGCTTGGGATGGTAAGTTATCTGTCACCACCCCCCCCAGAATATTTTGTTAATGACACAAGTTGGGCCTAAAGGTGTAAGTGAAATGTTAATTTTGGTTGCGTGTGTGTGAAAAGTTAGCTGTTGGCTGTTTGGAGCCAGATGGGGTGGGGCGCATGTGCACTCTGCATCCCCAGCACCTTGAAAACTCAATGGATGTTTGATAACTGCAGCAACAAGTCCTAACCTCTGGGAAGCATAGGTTTCCAAAGCTTGCAACAGTTTTAGCCTGTCCTTGGAGAACCTCTAGAAAGAATGCCACAGAATCTGTGACTTGGAGTAGACTGAATACATTTTGTAATGTTGCTGATAAGTGGCTTTTCAATTTTTAACTGCAAAGAGCCTGTTTGTATTTCAGAAGCTAGTGTTAACAACTTACCTTCTCATACTCGTGTGTGCACTACGGTGCCTCTCTTCCACTTCTGAGCCCCAATCTGTCCACAGAGCCCCAGTCTTACACATGTTCCGGCCACCTAACTTGTGATCCTTTGATGTCCTTGCAGCCTTTGCCCACCTGCCAGCCCTGATGCAACATCTGGCTGATAACTACAAACACTGGAAGACATTAGATGACCTCAAGTGCAAAAGTCTGAGGCTTCCATCTGACAGCTAGAGCCAAGACCGAAGGGGACCTCATGATCTGCAAAGGGCACTGTGAATCACAGTCATGTAAATAAGAGGTGTTCCTTTCTAGTGAAAAGGACAGGTGTAGGTTAAAGAGATGGTGTTTACTATTGGACTCTGAATCATCCAAGTCCCCAAACTGCATTTTTAGAAAGTTACATTCCATGAAGAAAAATACATGTTCTTTTGAACACTGAAGAGACAGAATAAACACAGGGCAAAATCCTTTGTCCTGTTGTCATCCTGTCTGTCCCCATCAAACCATGGAGCTCATTTACTATAACTAGCAGGACACATGCAGCAAAGACTTGGTGCCTGTGAGCCCATCTTGCTGGATGACAAAGTAGCTTAGTGTTCAGCTCGTCTCTTACCATAAAAGTCACTGTCACTGTTTAGCTTGACTATCTTCCTCAAGAGTCTCAGTCTGAAGGATTCATAATACTTAAGAAAAAAAAATATATAAAAAATGAGCAGAACAACTCGGACCAAATAACTGATAAACTAGTTAGTTTCACCGCCTTATGGCTAAGCAGTTCCTTTGCTCAGTGGTGTGACACCCAAGGCAGACCACAGCCTCGGCCTGGTGAGTGCCTTCTGTAGACTGGTAGCAGCAGCCTGTGTAGCCCTCCTTCCTAGAAAAGAAATTCATCCTAACACAAAGCCCTTCATGATGGGGAAGGGGCTGACACCTTGTTTGGGGGGGTGGAATCCAAGAGCTTCCCCTATTGCTGGTTTACAGAGGCAGTCACAAGGCACTATGGTGAGTATATAAAAGCCATTAAATTTGCCCTTGGATAAGTTTTTTTTTTTAAATTTATATACATTTGCTGTTTAAAATTTTTATTAAAGCACTCTAAATTTACTGGGTATAAGTCCATGGAGTAGGTTGTGCCGTGTACCATCTATACATATATATTTAGGGGAGGGATTGGGCAGTTTCAAGGTTCAGATGTTTTTAACCTATCTATATTTGAGACTTTGCCATTTTGCTTTAATGATGTAAAAAAGACAAGACTGCAAGATGTGTAAATAGATCAGAAAATAGGCATTAAGGGGAAGCAGTAAATACTATTTTATGCTCTTAATTGTATGCTAAAAGCTTCTAAAGCACAAGTGCATATTTTTATACAGCTCTTTTGAAAACTTTCTGTGATCTACATGAAGTCAGACTTGAGATTTTCCTTTCTCTTTTACCAAACAACCCTTCTCTATGTATTGTAAATATCAAACTCAGTAAACAAAATATCTTCCTTTTCCTTTTCAAATCCTCTGTACTCCCTGCTGCATTTTTAAGAGGTATAAACAGAGGCTGAATTAGTTGAATAGTAGTTACTTTTTTCAAATGAAAATTGGAATGCAGAACACTTGAAACCAGTACATGGGAAGAAAAAAATGACTTATCACTACATAATGTGCCAATGTTTTTTTTCTATGTTTTGTACCAAAAAATGAAATCATCTATGACAATTCCACGCAAAGAAATGTATCTAAATTATTTTTGTTAGAAAAGCGAATGTGCTTGGTCAGGACAGCAGCTAGCTTTGCGTTGTAATGCTGCACTATGTAAATGTGATGAAAATGTTTTTGTGATGTACTTGTAACTAAATTCCTACAGCCATTTTTCATTCCCAACAGCTGTTTTTATTTTATCTCTTTGGCCTAAACTTTTCATTATTTCAAAATTTCGCTTTACTGTCCTTTATTTCATGAGTCACACACTTCACTTTCAGACACATTAAAGTCAGAATGTCAAAATCCCATTTTAAAGAACTAAAAAACTTGCCTAGGCTTCAGAAGCTGGCTCCAGACAAGGACAGTCTTTACCTTGCCATGTCACTTTCAGTTCCATTCGGTAAGTAACATTTATCAAGATGTCTGACATTTTCTGTATGAATGTTACAGCTTACTCCCTCTAATGTCAGATTAATTTCATAAGAACTTAAAGGCTTTAAGACTGCCAGGTACCAAAGCTTTAGCACAGCTATGATCTTAATCAGTGTGTAATCCTCTGAATTGCTAACTAAATATTACATTCTTCCATATAGTCTTTCAGCAGGTATAAACTATTATAAATGCCTCTTTATACTTAGTTGTTTACTAAAACATTCTGTGTTGAAGGGACCCCTATTGAGAAGAATGCAATCTAATATAGGTAGAAGTCACATTAGGACTACTACACTTCACTAGAAGTTAGTTATAAGGTCATTCTTGTGGAGGTAACAATGTTTTATAATTCTAAGTCATTATTTACTTCCAATTTTATATTTTAAAATTTGCTTCCTGTCTAAGTCAGGACTGGTTAGTCTTGGGGGCAAAGGACAAGCCTCCAGCTGAGAAAGGAAAGATACAGTGCCCCCGAAATTTAGGCTCTTGCTTGTATTATGTGAAGACAGCCAGAGAGGGAGGTAATAGGGGATTTTTAAATAAAAATGACAAGGCCCACTACATAGTGTTACTTTGGGTGCTTCAAGCTCAACTTCTAGCAGTAGTCTACATACAACTACTGAGCAGCCGTCAAGTCTGAGCCCTATTAGAAGCTCCCATCTTCCTTAGTCGGGGGGCTTCCCTCCAGGCAGATAAGAGGATTGATGGTGCTACTTACAGTACTGGTTGCTCCCAAAACTTTCTGTCACTCCGTGGGAATAGATTACTAACCCAAACCTATTAGGAAATAAAGCAGTTAAAAATCTATGAATTTCTGTATAATTCATGGAAGAGGTCTTATACAACTCAAGAAAACAACTTGAAAAAGACCTCATGTAAAATGTCCAAAGAAAAAGCTAGCTAGTAACAGAAGAAAGTCCAGCTATTGAGGAAAATTTTAAAGCCTGAAAATGACTCAGAGATATGTAACTAAAGTGATCAACAATCTGATGGAATAGGGCTAATTGCAAGGCCTTACCTGCTTGGGCCTCAGTTTCCTCATTCCTAACATTAGGGCATCGGTGTGGCATAAATGACCTTAGCTCTTCCAGTCTGGGGGTAGTTGTGGAAGCAATGGTCAAAGATAAAACTAGTAAAAACAATTTATAAAAATTCCATTAGAGATGAGTGGGATGAACAGGTGAACAGGCAGAGAGCAAAGGAGAAGGATCAGTCTTCCAACATCGTAATAGGATTCTTTGATCAGCACTTTAAGAATAACTCCACTTTCTTTTTTAATTTTTATTCTTTAGTACCAAAGGGGAGAAAGAATATTCTGTTCTAAGGCTGGTAGGGTGATAAAGAGGATTAAATCTGAGTGGTCACAGCAAGTAACTACACAAATGAAGCCTTTCTCAAGTATTTCATATTGGAGGAACGGTAAGATCAATCAGGTACTTGCGGCTCCAGTCTCTGACTTGGGAAACACTGTACCTCTTTACTGATCTAGCTCTCATCCCTGGCATATCCGAGGGCTAGGTGCTGGTCCGGTCCCAATCTAGCTAATCACTATTCGGCCAATTCACATGGGGGAAAAATACACCCTGGTAAGATTCCTATTGATCTGAGTTTATAGGAATTGTAGTAGCTAAACTAAAACACAACAAAAGCATTTAAACAAATTACTTGGCACCAGCAACAAAAAAAGTTGGAGTTAAACAGTAAGAGACTCAAGTTTGCTCACAGAACATTCTTAGTTACCAAAGACCAGGGAATCTGTAGGAGGTAGGATATATTTATCACACAGATTCTTAATCCAACAGGTTCTAAGGAAAACCAAAGAACAAAAAAAAAACTTCTAACGAATGCCACAGTTATGCTGTTCTATTTCCACCTCTTCACAGGATCTAGGTTCAAATGAAGCGGCTCAAACCCAGCACTCACCCCTTGAGCAGCAACACAAAGCACAATCTCTTGGAGGTCTCAAGGTGTAAATTCAAGATGTGCTACATCCTACCTGTTATTCAGTGGATTTTTCATTTTTATCCCAAAGTATCTTCTATAATTATTATATATATTTTCTTAAAAGTAGGCTCATAAATTTTTTAAAACAGGTATAGTTAAAATACTCATTTTGAGAATAAAGGCAGGTACTTCAAAATTCAGAAAGGCCTAAATGAAAGTACATGTAACTTTTTAAAAAATTTTCATGATGAATAAGAATGTAATTAGAGGCAACGAAATTATACTAAATCAAGTGAGTGAGAGGTTCTGAGCACTTTTCTCATTAAACGTAAGCACATACAATTTCTGGTATAGAATTTTTTTTAAGTGTTATTTTAAAAAAATTTTCTATACGGACACTAGGCTAAAATTGCTTTATCAACCAATATTTGTGCTCTGATCTGAATACTTTCTGAAAATTCACTGCTGAAATTAGACCCATTTCCTCAGTGGTTTCAGGTTACTGCTCTGTGAAAAGTCAAATAAAAAACTTGCAGTGTATTCTTTGGTGAATGTTAATACCTGAGAAACAACTTGCAACTCTTGATCTGGGGGTTGTGAGTTTAAGCCCCTCACTGGGGGTGGAGATTACTTAAACTCTTTAAAAAAATAATACATTACAAATTTGAGTATTACCCTGTATTTGATGTTCAAGGTTCATGCACATGTGCTCCAAATTCCTTCAACTAGACAGCAAGATATAAGTCACCATTCTCCTCTAACTTTTGAAATAATTTTAAACTGCGCAATCCAGATTCTCTTTCTCCGTTTTTCCACAAAATAATGAGATGGTCAGCAGAGCATGTCACTAGTCCATGATCTTCAAAGTACAGAAACATCTGTAAAGAAATTTAAAGCCACTGATTATAGGAACTTCAGAGAGAAAAGGCGAGACTAACATGTGCTTGTAAGATAGGTAACTTGCAGAGTTATTTGAATCTGAATATAAAACTCATTTTTCAGGGGAAGTTGTGTAATGGTCTAGCATTATCTTGTATTTTAATAATCAGAACTACACTACCTATCTTTGTGAATTCCCACAGCATCTTCTTCAGTTTTACTATAATCGAATTCTTCAGGTATTCGTTTTAAATATATGTCAGAAGTCCTGCCAGAACTGCTTCATCAGTTATACCTCCCTCATTATTTATGGACAAATGGCTACCAGTAAAATGTCCAAACTCCTAATTCTGCAAGACAAACACTGGCTTGAGCTCTCTAATCCAGAAGCATTTACAGAATTACAGAATCTATATGCTATGGTCCCTACCATGAAGAAGGTTCTAGTTCAGTTCTGAAAACCACATCATAGTTGAAACAAAGACCATGTAACCAGGTACTAAAAAATGTAGTTCACACTAGGATTTGCTACAGAAAGAGAGGATCTAGATCAGTAACCACCGAAACTGTCAAAGCTTCAAAAACCTAAAACTTCTGAAATGAAGGGAAGGAAATGCCTGGTGAAGAAATAGGCTGGAAGAGAAGAATTTAAAAAAAAGCGTTCATGAAAAGGCAGCAGAACTACCTCTGCAGGAGAGAGCAGAGCTTGGCGAAGGTGAGAGTAAAACGAAGGAGAGAAATACAACATCAAAGAACAGGATGGGAGTTCTCTCTGAAATAACAATTCTGAACAAAGCAGGATAAGGCCTCAGCTGATGATCTGTAAGTGAAGAGGGGGAAGGAGGGGAGCAAAATACTACAGGTAACAGGGTTGGCTAGAGAGTAAGGGTAAAAACATAAAAGGAATGAGGAAGAATGAGGAAGTTCAGGAGGTAGCACCTAAAAGGGAGCCAAGATTTTTCTCAAAGAAGCCAGAGATATTTAAAAAAAAACTTCAATGTCAACACTTTCAGGAAAATTCCTCAGGTCTACATTATGGCAGATATGCCACTTTGAAGGTTACCCCATTTATTTTTTAAAAAAGATTTTATTAATTTACTTGAGAGACAGCAAGAGAGCACAGAGGGAGACTCCCCGCTGAGCAGCGAGCCCGATGCAGGACTCGATCCCAGGACTCTGAGATCATGAACTGAGCCAAAGGCAGACGCTTAACCGATTGAGCCACCCAGGCGCCGCTACCCCCACCATTTAAAAACCTTTAGTGGGTACCTACTATTTTAAAAATAAAGCCAAAATTAATCTGATGCAAAACTACTTTCTCAGGCTTCATCTCCTACTAGTGTCTGTTCACAGAAAACCACTGCTCCAACCCAGCCAGTCTGCTCATGCCACCACGGAGATGCAATCTTTGCACTTCTACCACATTCTGTTCTCCCCAGTCCCAAACTACACAATAGCCACCTAAGCAAAAGCAAAGTTAAAAAACAGAACAAAAGGACAACAACTGGGCTACGTGTTAGAGGAAAGCAAAGATAAACAAGACCCAACACCCAACATTAGGGAACTCAGGGTCACAAGGCTATGTATGTTAACCCTCCCCAACCTTCCAATTCCTGAGCACTAGCTGTCGACAGTCATCTGAGCCTGCCTGAGCAGCTTAGGTTAACAACTTATTTGGGCTGTACCCTTCCCCTCTAGAAGACCTAGGAGGGCAAGGATTGTATGACCTGTATCTTTGTAAACTCCAGTGTCTAGTATACTGCCTAAAACAGAAGCAATGATTGGTAATCATTGCAGCTGCCCTGAAGCATAAATGCACATTCAAATGGTAATTTGTTCCTCCCTGGCTGGGAAACAGGGAAGAACAATTTAAGAAATTCATTACTTAGGGCTCTGCTTATACTATTACCAGTTCCTATCCTCTCCTTATCTCGAATGATCTTATTCCTTTCATTATCAACAATGGTGCATATAGTAAATATTAATGTACTTCGATTTCCACAAGGTAGAATTGTATACATCTTACAATTCTCAACTAGTATTTTCATATATGCACAACAATAACCAAGACCCTAAGTCTTAGGAAAGCTAACAAAATATCCTTCAAGAGGAGGTAAAAACAGTACTCTGTTCATGAATGTGATAAAGGCCCCTGGAATTCCATTCTGCAAGGCTTTAATTCTACATATATAACCCAACCCTCCATGCACCCTCTACTACTGTTAAGGTATTCAACATGATTCACATTGTCTGATTCTCGGCTGTCTCCATTTCATAAATAATGGTGATTAAGCCCATTTTTAGAAGCAACACATTCCTTGCTTCATCACTTTGTGTCTCTGTAAAGGGAGATCTTAATTGCACATACTATAACCTATCCATGTTTAGATTCAGCAAAAACATACAGAAACAAAAAGTATAGGTCTTTATGAATGCCCTAAACCTTTACATGCCTATTAAAAATAATACCTCCACAGATGAGGAGTGTCCAATCAAATCTCCAATAAGCTCCAATGAACATGGAGGAGCATTTTCTTGCTGCTTTTTAACAGGTTGGCTGGCTTGCTTGTTCACTCTTCCAAATCCCCACATGTTAAAAAAACCTAGAAAAACAAAATCATTTTGGTCATTTCCAAAATCACTGTACTCTTTACTTAGAATATAAGATCAGAAAAACAGAAAATTTAAATGCAAAGATGTTCTGTACTTTCGTCAAGGGCTAAGGGATGGTATGAAACACTAAGCTAGCGTTTTTGTAAATCTGTTATTTCATCTTAACTACCAGGTTTGCTGCTCATCTCTTTTATTGCCCCTACTCACCCACTGGTAAAGGTGTATTAACATGACAAAAAGGCACTGGGAATAAAAGAGGAGAGCAGTAAAAGGCCTGAATGTCAGTGTCCAAAAAAAAAGCCACAACACAGATCTATCAACAAAGTGTAGATGAAAAGCAACGTGTGTCCAAAAACAGTATCCTAGCACGTCGCATGACCAGAAGAAACTCCAGAGGTAGCAGCATCTGATTCCTTATGCAAAGGTTGCTAATGAACCAGGATTTTGTTTTTCAAAGCAAACACCTGCAGGTCGAGAGCTCATGAGATTATGATATAAACACAAAAGTGTTTTTTTCCATAAACTGAGTTCAATATTAATGCTTCCAGGCTGAAAGAAAACTTGAATTTGGTATCTGATGGTACAAATCCTCCTTGTGTATCAAGTATTATGACAGACAATATAAAATGAATAATTACATCAATGGGCCATTTGTTCAGAAACTAGAGTTTCCCTTAAAACAATAAAATACTAGTTGACTTGAGATGAAAAAAAAACAGGCAGTTCTACATTAGAGCAATATTAAGATATGATCCGAGATCCCGACTAGCATATTCTTCATGTGAACATGCACCTTCTGCCTTTCATATGAGAAAAGACACACCTGTTGGTACAGGTTCAGCTGCAAGCTGCTGTTTTTCTCTTAACTCCCAAATGCGTACACTGCCGTCTTCCGAGCATGAGATTAACTGCCTGTCAGAACAGAAAATCAGTAATAAAAAAGAGAATGCGCCACGGAGGGCCAATGCGAAATCTGCAGTGAAAGAAATCAGTGGAGCCCTCAACCGTTTCTCTTCAGTTCTGGGCAGGGGCTGATAAAAATCGTAATTTAACATGGCTTTACAATGCAAAATAAAAGCACTCTTCGGGAAGGGCACCCGTTAAGCTGTTAAACTGGCTCAAATGTGATAAATACTTCATCCCATTTTGTAAAACACATTTACAAAAACAGTATGAATTACACTTTCACAGTATCCTGACCCGTCCCCCCTTCCCTCCTCTCACAGTATCTCTTCTCAGGGTGGCTCTAACACTAACAGTATCCTGCATAGAAAATAGTATTCCCTTCCTGTAATTTCATCCCTAGAAACTCAGCAGCCAAATTTATCCCAACAGGAAAGCCCTTGCTTAGTAGCCTCACACAACAAGGAGATGACCATTTCTTGCTGGCCATCAACAACTACAATGAAAATATGAGTTTATGGAAAACAGAAGAAGAAAAATGAGCACATAGTGCCCAAAAGTCTTTGTCTTTTTAAATAAATACCAAATTTTAACGTTATCTCTTCCTATCATCAAATTCAATGTAACTCATTTGAACGCTGCTTCTTGTAAATGTTGTAACATATTGCCACAAACTCTTCTGTTAGAGACAGCCATGGGTATTCTCCATTTCCCAAAGAACCTACCAGGTCAAACCAGGGAGCCAGATAAGCTTTGCCACTTGAGAAATTACCTTGGTGGCGCTGGGAAATGTGAGTTTCTTTCATTTGTTGTAGAACAGATGGGACCGTGTACCTGTTTGGAAGTTTGGCAATGTGCAGGACATTAGAGTCATGGGCACTTTTCTGGCAAGCAATCACACGCTTCATGTGAAGGTTATACACGTATAAACCCCTTCCAACTGCAGCAAATACATTCTGGTGGGGGGAAAAGTTCGGAAATGGGCATAAAATTAGTACTTACCACTACACAGTATAACAGATTTCCAGCCTGGCTATAACATCAGAAAGCCACCATTACCTTCCCTATTCCTAGCTCTTAGTCCTACCTACTATACTGCCCCCCCGAAGTGCAAAGGAAAGCTCAGAGCATTTAAAAGGTAGAAGGACACAACCACCAACACAGAGGAAGTTGTGCATATTACACGCCTTAGCATCACCTTCTTCCCTCACTAAAATACGACAACTTGAGAGCGACTATGGCTGCAGAATGGTCTACAGCGGAGGCTGCTGAGTTACTACCTGGGTGTTCATTCACATAACACTCTATCCTTGGGAAGTTATTTAGCTTCTTTTGCCTGGACAATGTGAGCAAAATGACCTGAACTCCACACCTTAAGCATGCAAGAGACCGATAAAGGACACACAAGAGCATATGCTGTACAGACACTATCATCTTAGGATCCCCTGAAGGATTTGCAAAAACATTTTTCCAAATGTATTACTAGAAATACCTTCTTACTAAAACAACTTTAACTTTTTGAAGATACTTTCACCAATGTTTATCTTATGACAGCTTCACAACATCTCTTTAAGGTAGGGAAAGCAAGTACTATTGCCATTTTCCAGATAAGCCTGTTAAAATTTTAAAAGAAGATTGAAGTCACTCAGAAAGTTAAGACATGGAGCAGATATTAGAACCAAGGTCATGTTACTCCAGTCCCTTGCTCTTGCCTCACACCATACCACCTAGCTTCTGAAATGATTTTGCAATCACTAGACTTTGGTAGCACTCGCCTAAAGAATCACTTTCTTACACAACAGGTACCCCAGTAAGGCAGCCCTTTCAAAACCCCTACATTGCCTCCCTGTTTTATACCAAAAAAGTCTTCTCATGCAGCCTCAAAGGCTACAAACCCAACTCAGACCTATAATATTTAGATCAAAGTATGCCCCTAAGGCTTATCAGAGTCTAAATCTGGAATGATCCCCTTGGCCCTAGGCATTGGTACTCTGCATTTAGCAAGATGAGCTGAGGACCAGTATCAGGGACATTGATAAAAGCTGGCCAACTTGCTAAAGTCTAGAGCCCTATGGGTAGCAATTCAAATGCAAAGAAAGCCCCAAAACTAGTTCTACAAACCAAGAAATCTGTGCAGAGTTTAAGTGATTTACCAAAGGTCACAAAGAAAATTATAAACACAACTAGAGAGTTAATGAGCTCTTGGATAGGTATTACTCAGAGTCACTGCATCAGTCACCTATCATCAATAATTAATGGCTCCTTTGGGCACCTGGGTGGTTCAGTCGGTTAAGCATCTGCCTTCAGCTCAGGTCATGACCCCAGGTTCCTAGGATGGAGCCCCACATCCCTGCTCAGCGGGGAGTCTGCTTCTCCCTCTCCCTCTGTTCCTCCCCTCAGCTCTTGCTCACTCTTTGCTCAAATGAATAAATAAACCTTAAAAAAAAAAAAGAAAAGAAAATGGCTCCCTGTAGAAAAAACAAACCTCTATAAAGAAGAAATACTAGGGAAAACTGAGTAATGCTTTATTAAGCATTTATAGCAGTTAATAAGCATCAATCAGAACTTTTGAGATTAAAAATACAAAATGAAAAACCTTAAACACTAATTTTTATAAACAAAAGAGGTTATCAAATGAAAAAAATATATATAATTTTTAGGGCCACAACTCTTAGAAATGTAGTTTCCATCTTTTCTGAGACCCTAACATGTTTATCGTATGTATTAAATTTTTTTTTCCAAAATAAAGTGGATTTAAAAAACAACTTTTGGGGGCATCTGGGTGGCTCAGTTGGTGAGGCAGCTGACTCTTGATTTCAGTTCAGGTCATGATCTCAGGGTCCTGGGATGGGGCCCACGTTGGGCTCCCCACTCAGCAGGGAGTTTGTTTCAGGATTCTCTCTCTCCCTCTGCTCCTCCCCTCCCCAAGCTCACTTTCTCTAAATAAATAAGTAAATCTTAAAAAAAATCCTTGGGCATGTTAGTATTCTGTTTTGCTTTTGTTTTTAAATTAAGAGAGGTGCAAAGAAAACAAAAAATGGACCATTCTCTCCCCATCCATAACACTATCACTGAGTTTTTTAAAATAAAAATAACAGGCAGAGCTGCCTGGCTGGCTCAGTTGGAGGAGCATGTGACTCTTGATCTTGGGGGTTGTGAGTTCAAGCCCCACGGTGGGTACAGAGGTTACTTAAATAAACTTTAAAAAAAAAACATGCATATGATTATAAAAGGTAAACAGTATAGAAAGGCACAAAATAAAGTGAAAAAAAAAAAAGCCTCCCCCCCCTTTGTAACTCAAGGGTTGCAACTCTTAAACATTTCTTCTGATTACATTTAGAGAAGTAAGCCCCCTTTGCACACATTTTCTAAGCCTGTGAAGGCAAAAGAAGAAATGTACAGATCAGAGGCAACATTCAGTAATCTGTTGGTAAAAAAAGATGTAAAGTGTTTCAATAGCATCACCACCAGGGCCTAAAGGAATGAATTTAGTAATTCCCACACAAATCAATCTTGCCCCACGATGCTAGTAGACTAAGAGAAAAACATTCCTAAAATTTTTAATTTCCTTTACTTCTGCAGGAAATACACAAGCATCTTCAAAAGATCCTTTCCCAAAGTGTTTCTGAAAGCCCATTTTAAGCCTTATCCTCAAATCCTATGGGATTATTTAATCCAATCAAAAATTTCAAAAGTGTTTTTAAATCTATGGACATTTAATCACTTCCTGCCTCACAGAAAGGAGCTAAGATTAAAATGCTTTTTTAGTGCAAGGTGTGCAATCTTTGAAAAATATCAGAACATTTTAAAGCATAACCTGAACGTGGGGAATGATACCTTTCTATATCCATCAAGAGATTAAGTTAAAAAAATTAGAAACTGGGTTTATTAAAAAAGCCAAGTTTACAGATATTTTCTTTCTTTTTTTTTTTTTTTTTACCTCTTCATCCCATGTGAAATGATGAATAGAAATGTCGTTTGGTTTTTGGCAGAGTTTTATTTCTTGCTGGGTGTCCAGCTGTGGGGATGGGTCCCAGAAGTTGCATTCATAGGCTTGCACGGTCCAGTCCAGAATATCCCAGATGATCATTTCTCCAACATGGGAGCCAGTTACAAAACTCACATCTAGGCAGAGTTCATATTTGTCTCATTAGTTATCATTTTATGTAGGCTAAAGGTAAAAAAGAAATGGACTGCCTACTTGTAATGCTCTATAAAACAACAATATTTAGACTAGTGAGGTACCTAGACAAGCCAAACAGAAAGATACATATAGCAAAACAGCAAGACCAGAAAGAGACTCAAGTCTACTTGGTTATTTAGGATGTGATAACACCATTTCAATTCAGTGAGGAAAGAAATGCCTCTCACTGGATTATTTGGTTAACTAACTGGAGAACAGAAATAAAAGAACCTTACCTTGGATCATATATTGTGTAGAAAACGGACACTTCTCCTGTGTCTCTCTTTTCCTGTCACACTACTACCACACTTAAAACACTTGTGACACCAGATGTGTGTTGGCTTTTCCCACACCAAGCAATTCTGCGACTCTGAGTGTCCTACAATTTAACTCATTCTGACACTCTACCTGGAGGTAACATCAGATGCCAATTGCAAATCCAGGCTGTTACCCGTGCTTCTCACCAATCAGCTCCCGCTTAGGTTCAATTAATTTGCTAGAGAAGCTCACAGACCTCAGGAAAAGTTTCCTGTTTACCAGCTTATTTTGACAGGATATGATAAAGTACAGAGAGATGAACCCCCAGATGGAGGAGATCTGTAGAACAAGGTGTGTGGGAAGGGCTGGAGGGCTGTGGAGCTTCCATGTCCTCTACAAGTCTGCCATTCTCCCAGCACCTCCACATGGGGGACAATCTGGAAGCTCTCCAAACCCCACACTTTTGGGACTTTTATGGAGGCTTCATCATGTAGGCATGATCAATTATTAACTCCATTTCCAGCCCCTCTCTGGAAAATGAGGGGTGGAGGTAAAAATTCCAAGTTTCTAATCACCACTGGTCTTTCTGGTGTCCAGCCCCCATCCAGAAGCCCACTAAGAAATAATGGTCTCCTATCACCCAGAAAATTCCAAGAGATTTAGGAGCTCTTGCGTCAGGAAATATGAGACCAAATATTAGAACAAAAGATGCTCCTTGTGCTCTTATCACTTAGGAAATTACAGAGGTTTTAGGAGCTCTGTGCCAGGAACTGGGAGCAGAGACAAATATAGTTTTCCTATTATTTGACATATGCCAAAGTAAGTTTCAAATATATTAGAACATTAAAGGTGCTTAAAGGAGGGGTGCCTGGGTGGCTCACTCAGTTAAGCATTTGACCCTTGGTTTCAGCTCAGGTCATGGTCTCACAGTTGTGAGCTGTCTGCTTGAGATTCTCTCTCTCCCTCCCCCTCTCCCTGCTCACTTGAGTGCATGCTCTCTCTCTAAAATAAAAAAATCTTTAAAAAAAAAAGTGCTTAAAGGATTGAAAAAAATAAAGGTAAATGCTTTTATTAATATAGAGTGCTAAAAAGCTCTAAAAGAGGCAGGGTAGGGAAAGATATATGTGTAAATATCTGCTAAGCAAAAAAAAAACCCTCATATTTAAATGACAAAAGACTGAAACATTTGCAACTCAGATGTCAAAATGGGTTTATTATACTTGATACGTAAGGAGCTCCTAGAAATCGCTAAAAAAAAGACAAATACTCCAGGAGAGAAAATGAGCAAAAGACTTGAACAGGCAAAACAAAAAATACAAATGGTCAGTGACCATGTGAAAAGATGGTCAATTTCCTTAATAATCAAAGAAATCTAAAAGCAGTAAGATACTACTTACTGATGTGAAAACTGGGAAAGATTGAAAAAACAGGAAAATACCCAAGCTGGCAATAGCATAGGAAATCAACACACTTTGGTCCTACTAATGTCCTAGTACAAACTGCTACAATCCTTTCAAATTTGTTGATATGCATCAAAACCTTTAAAAAAAAAAAAGGAAACCCACTGACCCAACAATTCCACTTCTAGGAATTTATCCTGAAGAAAGTAGATAAAAGATATATGTAACAAGCCTATTATATATAATATTAACAATGTGAAGATAATCAACATCCAGTTGGGGACTGAACAAATAAGACATCTACAAAATAAAACAGTAATGCTAGAGGAGCAAGATGGAGGAGTAGGAGACCTAAATTTCGTCTGGTCCCAGGAATTCAGTAGATAGGGATCAAACCATTCTGAACACCTACTAACTCAACAGGAGATTGAAGAATAGCAGCAACTCTCTGAACAGAAAAGCGACCACTTTCTGGAAGGTCTCTTCTGATTTCTTTAGTGTATATTTTTCTGGGGTTGTTGTTATCCTGTTAGCATTTTGTTCTCTCATTCATCTCTTCTCCTCTGGACAAAATGACAAGACGGAAAAAATCACCTAAATAAAAAAAAGAACAAGAGGCAGTACCAACTGCCAGGGAACTAATCAATACGGACATAAGTAAGATGTTGGAACTAGAGTTCAGAATGATGATAATAAAGATACTAGCTGAGCTTGAAAAAAATCATGGAAGATTAATTAGATAAACCCTTTCTGGAGAAATAAAAGAACTAAAATCTAACCAAGGTGAAATCAAAAAGGCTATTAATGAGGTGCAATCAAAAATGGAGGACCTAACTGCTAGGATAAATGAGGCAGAAGAGAGAATTAGTGACATAAAACACTGTATGATGGAAAATAAAGAAGCTGAGAAAAAGAGAGAGAAACAACTACTGGATCACAAGGGTAGGATCTGAGAGATAAGTGATACCATAAGATGAAACACTATTAGAATAATTGAGATCCCAGAAGAAGAAGAAAGAGAGAGGGGCAGAAGGAATATTGGAGCAAATTATAGCAGAGAACTTCCCTAATTTGGGGAAGGAAACAGGCATCA